TTAGCTGGAAACAATTTTGAAATTGACATTTTAGTGGGAATGGATAGTTATTATAAATTTATGACAGGTCGTATAATTAGGAAAAACATAAATGGACCAGTTGCCTTAGAAAGTAATTTGGAATGGGTTATTTGTGGCCCAACAAGCATGACTGTTAAAAGAAGCTGCACAGCATCAAATTATTATTCTACACATGCGATGCAAATGAATGCCTTACAGATTGATAATGACAGTCTGAAATCGAATTTAACAAAGTTCTGGGAAATTGAAAGTTTAGGAGTTGGAGAACATGAAGTTTATTACAAGTTTCAAAACAAAGTTTACCACAATGGAGAAAGATATGTAGTAACCTTACCGTTTAAACCGTTTCATGAAACTCTTCCAGATAGCTATTCAAATAGTAAAAAAAGACTTGATTCCTTAAAACAAAGTTTACCACAATGGAGAAAGATATGTAGTAACCTTACCGTTTAAACCGTTTCATGAAACTCTTCCAGATAGCTATTCAAATAGTAAAAAAAGACTTGATTCCTTAAAACAAAGTTTACCACAACGGAGAAAGATATGTAGTAACCTTACCGTTTAAACCGTTTCATGAAACTCTTCCAGATAGCTATTCAAATAGTAAAAAAAGACTTGATTCCTTAAAACAAAGTTTACCACAATGGAGAAAGATATGTAGTAACCTTACCGTTTAAACCGTTTCATGAAACTCTTCCAGATAGCTATTCAAATAGTAAAAAAAGACTTGATTCCTTAAAACAAAGTTTACCACAATGGAGAAAGATATGTAGTAACCTTACCGTTTAAACCGTTTCATGAAACTTTTCCAGATAACTATTCAAATAGTGAAAAAAGACTAGATTCCTTAAAACGATGACTTGACAAGGATGAAGCACTTCGACATAAGTATAATGATATTATTAATCAATACCTAAATGATAGAATCATTCAGAAAGTTACAGACACTAGGTTGCCAGGTAGAATTCATTACATGCCACATACTGCTGTTATGCGTTTAGATAAAGAAACAACAAAAATGAGGATAGTGTTTGATGCATCTTCAAAATATGGTAAACATCCCTCACTAAATGACTGTCTTTATTCTGGTCTCTGCTTATTGACCTTGCTATTTAATATATTAGTTCGATTTAGACTTTACAAGATTGCTTTAACATCGGACATCAAACAAGCATTTTTTAATATTGGTATTAGTCCCTCAGATCAAGACTATTTACGTTTTATTTGGTTTGACGATGTAATTTCAAAGAATCCACAGAAAATAATATTTCGGTTTACACGTGTTGTTTTTGGATTAACATGTAGTCCATTCCTACTCAATGCAACAATACGAGAACATTTAAAAAACTATGTTAAAGAATTTGAGAGTTTTGTTTTACAGTTTCTTTGTGACTTGTATGTTGACGATACTACAACTGGATTTGATAATGTTGCTGATGCCTTTGAATTTTTTAAAAGAGCTCACAAAGTTATGAAGGATGGTGGATTCGAATTGGAAAGTGAACATCTCAGAAGAATTAATGAATCTAATAAAATCTTGTTCTGATCAAACTAACAATATGTAAAATCGAAAGGTGTTAGGACTATGTTGGGATGCAAAGTTAGATAACTTTAATTTTTGTTTTAATGAATTAGTGGACGAAGTACTGAAATTGCGACGAACTAAACAGTCATTATTAAGTATTAGCTCAATAATATACAATCCTCTTGGACTGTTGATTCCAATCACTATTCAATCTAAAATGATGTTTCAGAAAATATGTACAGAAAAGATGGACTGGGATGAACTCTTGCTTGATGATGTCTGGACTCAGTGGTATAGATGGTTAAATGAACTTAAAGAAATTGGTAATTTAAATAACCCAAGATGTGTATTATTTGACATAACTAAACAAATAAAATCTGTTCAAATTCATCAATTTTGTGACAGCTCAACACAAGCCTATACAGCATTATGTTATTTATGAATTGAAGCTTATGATATGGTTGTTGTGAACTTACTTACATCAAAAGCGAAGGTTACTCCACTTAAAAGACAAACTGTTCTAAGACTTGAACTCTTGGGTTATTTAATGTTAAGTAAATGATAAGTTCTGTAAAGAGTGCAATTAATGGTGTTCTTCATATTGAAAAGGTTTACTATTAGAGTGATTAAAAAATTTGTTTATCGTGGATTCATGGAGTAAATAAGGAATGGAAATGTTGGGTAGAAAACCTTGTTAATTCAATACAAAGTTTATCTAATATTGATGATTGGCATTTTGTTTCTGGAACTGGAAACCCCGCTGATATTCCAACTAGAGAAAATAGTTTGAAATCAATGTTTAAAAATAAAGATTATTGGAAGGGACCTGAATTCTAAGAAAGGTTCCCGGGGAACGGACTACAAAATGCAATTACGAGAATGAGTTAACAAACATTTCTATTGATTCAGAACTGAAAAAACAAAAGCTTAACTTAAATGGAATTGTTGATGTCAAAAACTTGTTTCATCAATCTGAAGTTGATACTGTTTTTAGTAAAATGTCATCAATCTGAAGTTGATACTGTTTTTAGTGAGTTTGCTGCACCATTTTTCATTAAAGAATTATATTCAGAAACCAGCACATTTCACAAAGTTTATTTGATTTTATTTACATGTGCAGCTACAAGGAATGTACACCTAGAATTGACCCCTAGAACAGATACTCCTTCAGTTATTTGTGCACTAAAACGATTTTTTGCAAGAAACGGTTATGTAAAAATGTTTATAAGCGAGCCATTGACTCCATCTCATTTAACTGTTCGCAGAAGGCTTTTTAGTCAAGTAGAATCAGTTAATACAGAAGATCCAGACTTAGTTAAAATCAGTGCACTGGAGCAATTTGAACATTTAAAGCCTTCGATTCAGCATTTTAAAACAAGATTTTACAAGCAATACCTTAAATGAACTACAAGAACACCACGTTTACAATTGTTCAGAAGTACGATATTATAAATAACATTCAAGTAAATGATATGGTTTTGATTAAAGACGATGATAAGTTGCCTTGAAGCCGTTGGAAAAAGGGTTTTGTTATCGAAAAAATAACAGGAAGCGATGGGAAGGTTTACAGGAAAAACGGGTGTCCGCAAAAACGGCAAAATTAAAGATAAAACTACACAATTGTTAGAGATGCTATCTCTAAGATGAGGAGTGTAGAAACTAGTTTAAAAGGACTTGGTCCTAGTAACCATTTTTAGACTTAACGCGCGAGCACGTTTTTTCTTATCTTGTTAAGTTTCTAGAAAGCCTAATGGCGCTCTAGTTTTGTTTATTATTGAAATATATTATCCTCTCTCATTTGCCTTTTGATTTACTTATTAGAGTCCGTTGTGGATTCTAAATAGCATATGTTGAGGATTTAAATAGCATGCATTATATAGAGATAATTGCGTATAATATATCTATAAAATGAGAAAACTTCAAAATTTTATTTTAAATTTTAGAAGTCTTTTTTGCTACATTATTATTTTTTCAGTTAAAAGTATATAAACATTAATAAAAAATTTTCAAAGTTTATTACGATGAGGGAAAGTCTTAAACCCCACAAAACAAAATTAATGACAGCGCACTTAACTACTGAGCTATCAAGTGAAATGCATTTAGTAGAAAATTAAACCTAATTATAAGTCTTTTAAAAACTTTACATATATGTAGAGTTCCGCATATATGCGGAAAAGGTGCGCATGTTAAGTTTTTTTCTCTTGAATGTTTTTTTCCAGAATAAATTGTTCTACTAAAAAATATTGCATAAAATTAGGAATAGGTATATAAATAATTAGTGCAGAATAGATATGGATAGAAATAATAGGGTTGTTTAAGACCCGTATTTTACGGATCTGGAAAGCTAAGATGTATAGGGAAAAAGGATAGTCCGATCTCAGCTAATTATATATATATATATATATATATATATATATATATATATATATATATATATATATATATATATATATATATATATATATATATATATATATATATATATATATATATATATATATATATTAACTTAAAATGTATTAACAGTCAATATAAATTAAGTAGTTGTCAAACAAAAAAACACTGCATATAAAACATTTCATATGCAGTGTTTGTTTGAAAATCTTTTAACGTTTTATATATATATATATATATATATATATATATATACATATATATATATATATATACATATATATATATATATATATACATATATATATATATATATATATATATATATATATATATATATATATATATATATATATACATATATATATATATATATATATATATATATATATATATATATATATATATATATATATATATATATATATATATATATATATATATATATATATATATATATATAATTATATATATTATATATATATAAAACGTTAAAAGATTTTTTTAATCTACGATTCCTTAAAACTAGATTGCTCTGAAAACCAATGCTTTGTCCCAAAATCAAACATTTATGCTTGCTGTTACTACATAAAGAAATGCGTATATATATTAACTTAGAATGTATTAACAGTCAATATAAATAAAGTAGTTGGCAAACAAACAAACACTGCATATAAAACATTTCATATGCAGTGTTTGTTTGATATATATATATATATATATATATATATATTTATATATATATATATATATATATATATATATATATATATATATATATATATATATATATATATATATATATATATATATATATATATATATATATAGTATATATATATATATATATATATATATATATTATATATATATATATAAAACGTATATATATATATATATATATATATATATATATATATATATATATATATATATATATATATATATATATATATATATATATATATATATATATATATATATATATATATATATATATATATATATATATATATAAAACGATAAAAGATTTTTTTAATCTACGATTCCTTAAAACTAGATTGCTTTGAAAACCAATGCTTTGTCCCAAAATCAAACATTTATGCTTGCTGTATACTACATAAAGAAATGCGTAAGTCCGGCTATAGTTAATTACGGTAAGTTTTATTTTCGTAGTTATTTTACCAATGCAACGGCAAATAATACCAATATTAATTAGAATAAAGCACTTTTTTTTTTCAAACATTTTATCTAAAAATACTTAATAATAGTATTAAAAAATAGTTTTTAATAGTATTAAGAGGTAAAATATGCAACCACCTTTTTATTTTTTTTTCAGAAAAATACAAAAGTCCTAGGGGGCTATGGGGGACTATAGCCCCGGACCCCGCAAATTTAGGGGCCCCCCTAATTTTAGAGAAACTTTTTTTCTTTTAGTCATTTTTAGATTATGGCCCATAAAAAGGCCTTCAAAAACAAAAATAGCCCCGGGCCCAAAGAAGTCTTAATCCGCCACTGATAATATTAAAATAACTTTGGTTTGCAAGTAACTAAAGACTTGTTTTATTCACAACCAATTGTTTAAGATAAGCCTAATATTGTTCAACAAGTTGTTAATTATTTATTGGCAAAAAATTTATTTACTTTATTACTAATTAGATGTGAATTCTCGGTGGTCTTAAGTCATTGTTAAATATTCCCTTAGTATTCAATCAAACTTGAGAGTACCAAATCTAGAAAAATAAAAAATTAAAAAAGCTATATTTATAAATAAAAATAAAGTTAATCTTAAAATGCTCCAGTTTTCTAAAACAAATAAAAAAAAAATCAAAACCTGTAAACGTTAGAAAAGCAATAATAAAAGTATGTAATTATGATACCCGATTCAGAAAAACTATTTCACTACAAGAAGATTGTTTTATAAAAAAATCTCACTACAAGAAGATTGTTTGTAAAAAAATCTATGGAAAATAATTGTTTTTATTATAATTTTCTACCTTTAAAGGTAGAAAATTATACCTTACTAAGGGTATATCACATATCCTACCCCTGAGGTAGAAATTTTTACCTTTTTTTTTTTTAGCGTGTAGTTGAACAACTTTTAAATCTGATCGTTAATTCATATTCCTTTTATTAGGCTCCATACTTATACTATTACATACTCCATCTATTACACATACTATTACACATACTATTACATACATCTATTACACATACTATTACATACTCCATCTATTAGGCTGGCGCAGATATATTTTTAATACATTGTTTCCAGTTTAGGATGTTGAACGCTGGATGTTCTTGACTCGATGCATGGGTTTTGCTTGTGTCTCTCTTTTTATGACTAGGCAAATCATTCTATTATCTCCAAATGAGGGTACAGCTCTAAAACTCAGTTTTATGGTTCTGAGGCCGCCTGGTAGTCAGGTTTCCCGAACTCGGTGGTAGCTCTCAGAGAAGCTGATTCCATCAACAGCTAAAAAATATCAGAGTACTAACAGTGCCATGTTGCGCATGGATGGTGTCCCTGTTTGTACTTTTGGTGTGCATTGCCAAGGCCACATTGGAGCTCTTTGTTACGGCTTAGGGTTTATTGGTAGAAATGAGGCAATTGCTTGGGCTATAAAACAGTGTACTGAGTACTTTCTATGTTTCGAGTCAAGTTCTTTAACAAATTTAAAAATGAATAAAGTAACAAAAACTATAAAACACAAAAAACCACAGTCATCACCAAGTTCGCTAAACCTATCATTCACCAATATTCGTGGTCTTCGAAGTAACTTTTCTACTGTTGAGTCTTATCTCTTGCAAAGTTCACCAGACCTAATTATTATTTGTGAGAGTAATTTAAGTTCAGCTGTATCATTTTGTGATCTTAGTGTTAATGGTTATCTTCTTTTGATTCGTAAAGACTCCAATAGTCACATGCTTGTCCTAGGCATTTACATTCGTAAGAATTCACCCATTTGTCGGGAAACTAGGTTTGAATCCAAAAACTGCTCTTTTATGTGCTTTCGTTTAGTACCACTTCACTCTATCACCTTTCTCTTTGTTCTATATCGCTCTCCTTCATTTCAAGACTGCACTCTTCCTGATGCAAAATTGTTGTGCGTTTTTTGTTGCCGCTAGATTTGTGTTGAAGTAACCAATTCACCTTCAAGTGTTTTAAAATTGTTCATTTAGGACATTACAACGTAACTTACATTTTGAAAAGCCACTTAATATCTGAAAATATACCAATTGTATCTTGAATTAAGTAGAGTGGAAACTAAATAACAATCTGTTTTTTCAATTACCGAAAAACGTTTTTCCATTGCATTTTTCATAAAAAATTTAAATTCCTGAATACTAGGTTATTTCTGACAACATTTTTGTTGCTTCTTTAAAAGCACCTAAAATGTTCAAAACTTTTTTAAAGAACCTAGGACAAAAAATTTAAATTACACTGAAGGAAAATTAATACCCTAACCCTGACCCGCTTTATCATCCTTCTCCCAGCCTATATCATCATCTAACATCAGTCGGCATCAAACTCCAACAATTCGCCAACTTCAAAATTTAACCACGAACCCGCTCAAACTTTTCAAATGTTGCAACACTTCACTGAAAGATTCGAACGCAATATGAAAAATGTTTTACAGCGCTACCATGCTTATATAAAAAAATGTCATTAGAGTCAACATTCCGAGAGCTGTAGGCCAGTGTCTAAGTACATCCTTAATGCTCAAGAAACAAGTGCGCTAGACAATGAGACCAAAAAGTCACAGCAATAAAGAAACGCACAATTGGCTTCAAAGAAGTTTCAGATGAAAATTAGCAAATGTAACATTTAAAAAAACTGACACAAGACAAAGACATCAACAAGTGCAAAAAGTGTCGCAGAGTTTAAGCAGATGCATTGCAACTCAAAACATTAAATGGTACTAATGTTTTTTGTTTTTTGTTACAATTTTTGGTTACAATTATTGGGTTTGTGTTCACCCAAAAAATACAAAACTGGTGTAAGGTTTTCTTAAATTAAAAAATGCCTCAGACCTGCATCTGACCAAACAATACAAATTTATTTATTTAATAAAATTTTTTTTTCGTGTATTTAGTTAAAATAGTGATTTTGTAAACTTAACTTCTAATACGATTATTTTTCATCCTATCTTTAATTAATTCAGCTTGACGTTTTGAATAAATTGTTATGAAAATTTAACTAGTTTACTTTTTCCCATTTATAAGGGAAAAATAAACTTTAAAAAAAAGATTTACTTTTTTTTTCTTTCATAAAATTCGATTTTTTGAAAATTAAAAAAAACTTTTTTTTAATTTTTATATATTTATATAATATAGAAATTCTCGATAAAAAAAAACAACAAAAAAAACAACAACATAGTATTTTCTTTTTTTTAAATAATTAATTTTGAAGCTTAAACGGTTTACTCTTACCCCCAGTTTACTCTAGTAACTTAAATAAAAGTCTTTTTTAGTTTTTAAACAAAGCCTAATCTTACTTTTATTATTTTTAAAGCTTATCATTTAATTTAAAAAAACTAATTTTATCAAAATATTAATTACCTTATAATGCTAAATATAGCTTTATGATATCTATTTTCTAAATATTTTAAACCAAAAGTTTGTTTTTAATTTTTTATTTATTTTAGGTTTATTTTTTGCTTCTTAATATTGCAAGTTCAAAATTACATAAAAAAGATTTGAACAGTGAATATATAAATAAAAACAAAATATTGCAAAGTAGTTTTACGAAAATAATAAATTCACTTTAAGGTGGTACTAGCCCAACAAATTTTAAAGTTTTCAGATTTTTTTTTTCTAAGTTTGAAAAATAGAATCATTGTAGATTTCAAAAATGTATAGTATATAAGTATACTATGTTTTTATGTAATTTAGTGACAGAAAATGTTTATTTAAAAAGAAGCCCTTAGCAACCGCATAGCAACAATAAACAATGCTTACTTTTGGGCTAATTTTCCATAAATTTCATCAAACAATTATTTTTTTATTATTATCATACATTTTATTTATATCTACTTAGCTTTATATCAACTTTGCAAATATGTTAATTTCATTTTTAATACTTAAAATGAATTATATAGTAAAAAGAAAGTGAATTGATATTAATATATCAATAACAGCTTGTTATGATTATTTTATTAAATTTATTACATTTATTTTTTACATTTTACTGCTATATTCTTAGATGCGAAATAAAAAAAAAAATAGCAAAAGAATAAAAAGAAGTTATTTCATGGAAATCAACATAAAATATCTGATCAACAAAACATTTCAATTGAAAGTGCTTCTTATTTAAATAGGTTTAGTAGTACTAATTGTACAAGTGCTAAAAAGTTGAACAAAGTAGTTTATTGTATTGGCAGGTCAGCTAAAAACAAACAGACATCTAACGACCTTGATTTTTTTATATTTATAAATTTTGGCATAATGAAAGATTTATTTGAGGAATTCTCACGCTGTTCTGAGTGTAGCTCACCTGTAAAGCTTACACATTTTGAAAATGAACACCAAGGGTTTTCACTTAAATTATGTATAAAATGTAGTTTTTGTTCAGCATGCAGATTTTCGTATGCTTCTCCTCAATTCATACCTTTACAAAAAAGTAAACTTGTAAAAAAAGCACATAATATTAACTATCACGCAGTTATGGTTATATTTATTTTCGCGAGATAGGTAAAGGTCATGCTGGTATTGAAACATTTACAACAATGATGAATATGCCATTTTCTATTGCATTTACTTCGTATAAAAAAATTAATGAGACTCTTTATTGTGCATATGAAAAATCTGCTGAAAAAAGTACCCAAAAAGCTGCTCATGAAGTGCGTCAAACGCTTAACATCAATGCGTGTAGCAATTATATTATTGACTGTCATATTTCTATTGACGGGACATAGCAAAAAAGGGGTTATTCTTTCTTAAATGGCGTGGTATCTGCAATTTTAAAGGATATTAAAAAGGTCTTAGACTATCACACAATGTCAAAATTTTGTAAATCTTGTGAGATTTGGTCAAAAAGAAAAGGATTAGCTGATTATGACATATGGAAAACAAGACACAAGTGTGCAATTAATCATCGTGAATCATCGGGTGCTATGGAGTCCACTGGTGCTATTTAAATTTTTTGTTCTTCATT